CCCTTGATCCGAGAACATGGGAAAGCCTAATGAAGCTGGCAGATGCAAAGTTGAGCAAAACAAAAAAAACTCTATCTCACAGATGTCTTTATTTCATATTATTTCCATTCCGCCTTTATTATAGTTTTATAAATAAGGCAGCGAAAATGCCTAATACTACTTTGTCCTCCTATTTTCCCCCCAACGACAACCCTGTGAGGTGAGTTGGGCTGAGAGAAGGAGGTTGGTCCAAAATTACCCAGCCAGCTTTCATGCCTAAGGCATGACTAGAATTCACAGTCTCCTGGTTTTGAGCCTGGGGCCTTAATCACTTGACCCAAATGACTCTTGGTCATGCTGAATTTACACAATTTGCCATTGAGAGTTGTGATGATCTGGTAGTTTTTAAAAATATCTTCTTGTAGTTCTTAAAGGGACCGGATCAAATCATTGATCTTATTGAAGAACTATTAGCTTGAATATCTGTGTTAAATGTCCATTTATAGAAATTCTCTACTAATGAATGGCAGATATTGCAGTATTGGTATCTTTTATGCAGTATCTTTCTAAAAGCACCTGGATAATGAGACAGAAGGCTGAGTGAAATGAATATTGTTGTACTGTATCCATGTGATATCTGAAAAAGACATAAGCACAAGTTGTGTGTGCTAGACACTCCTTTGCACAGGAACTAGAAGAACGGATAGATTTCACAATACTTGACTAGCATTGGAACCAATGCATTTAAAACTTCAGAATTTTTCTCCATATGGGCAAAAAATTCTCTGTCAACAAATAGAAATACATGTGTGGTTGGGCATTAAATGCATTGTGTTGCAATCCCTATCAATCTATTATTTCTTTTTCATACCATAAATCTTGATGAGGCAGAATTAATCATACAATTCCCTGAACAATAGGTAGGAGTGCTTTTGGAGGTGCGTGCTAATTTAAAAACTATACAAGCAAGAAATGCCTTTTTTATCATGGAATAGCAAGAGATGTATCCTAGCATTCTAAGAATATAAGAGTGACTTTAAATCTCACAAAATTAAAGAAGTAAAATTATCTAGTTTATTTATTTTTATGTATATTTAGAATTACTGTTTTTAATAGTTTTTGCCTATGTATTCAGAAAACAGAGAAACAGAGTTTTGCATATGCATTCAGGAAACAGAAAAGAATGAAACCAAGTTGTATTACTTTATTTATTCATTTGTACTGTAAAATTATTTTATCCTGAAAGGAAATTGAGTAATTGATATGTACCATTGGTCAATTTTCTCAGCTTTTTTTCCAGAGCTGAGGTTCCTATGCTGATCTGGGCTGTGGATTGTTTATAATTTATTCAACAAATCACTATCCAGTGAATTTTTGCAACTCATTAAGCCATAAGGCTTTTTGCAAATCAAAATTGCTGGTTTAACATAGCACACAATCAAAGCTAAACAAACCACAGTATGATTTATCATATCATGATTTATCAGATTAGGTTCACACATTGCTTGATTGTGTGACTAATCTAGTCTTGAGTTAGCCACATGTTGTAGGAATTCATCCATAGCTGATAATAAAGATAACTGCAACATACATTTTGTCAAGGTCTTTTTTAGTGAGGGAAAATGTCAGCTTATTCCTTCATGAAAATTGTCTAATGTAAAAAGCTGCAGTAATTAGAAACCTTTCAACACTGTTGAAGGAGTAATACGATGCTTTGTCTTTGAGGAAGATGCTGTAGAAACACATTAACAATGTTAATCTTTGCAGCTCTTTCTTTCCTATGTACATACAACCAAGTGGTCCACGTCTAATGTCTGAAGCTGATTATGAAAAAAGTCTTTCTTTTAAATACACCTATTATCTAAATAGTTTGGATATAATCCAGTCAAAGTTAAGTGCTTTCAGGTTTTTATAGACCTCAGTTGAGAGAGTTAGGTATGTCCTTAAATCATTCCTTAAATCAGTGGAACTTGCGAAGTACTTAAATTTGGCTGGCTAATCAAACAACATAAAAACCTGTTTTAATAGCCTTATAAGAATAGGAATCCTCACATACATTTCTGTGTAAACTTTTGAAACTAGAAGTATAAATAGCAATATCAAGCATGCTTGTATTTCATAATCATGATCTGTCTCCTTTGAAGCTATAGCATTATTTTATTCCTTGAGAATTCCCTTTCTTTAACTTTTGGTCCAGATAACCATTTGTTTTTACTTGGTTGTAAGCCAGCTAGAGTCACCTCTAGGTGAGATGGGTAACATAGAAATTTAATAAATAAATGTGTATTGAAATTTCATGGATATTCACACCAGTTGTATTTGCAAAGTTGTGGCTGCTACGCTGTTATTGTAGTCAGCCATGTCAGATGATTGTGATTGCCAACACTCTCTGCCCAGCTTCCCATAAACAAGATCAATGGGAAAGCCAGCTGGAAATCACTTTTGTTCTCACTGCTTATTTGCCCACCCATGGTCTATTTATCTGTTTAGGTAAATTCATTTTCTAGCATATATTTCATTAGGTTTGCATTAACTATATTCTCCCGAAAATAGGATCCAGACATGTTTCAGTTTATGAAATTATTATAACTTGAATATAATACCTAGAGAAGTGCTTGCACAGATTCTGCACTATTTTAATTGAAATGTTTTATAACAAAGCATGTGGGAGGGACCTTGTTGCTCTAATGTGTCCAGAATAAAGCTTTACCCAACTTAAAGGAATCTTATTTGACCAGTTGTATGAATAAAGAGGATGACACTTTATTTCCTCATCTTTTAAATCCACCTAAATTTGTGACTGTGTTAAAGTTGACTGTAAAAAATATGATTTCTGTAATAGAGCTGCCAAAGTCTGGAGTGCCCTACCTGATTCAGTTGTCTCAGCTACAAATTTTCACAATTTCAGTCACAAATTGACTTCCATGGACCTTACTTCATACTTAAGTGGTCAGTAGAGGGGGTGTGCAATAATGTGCCTATTGTCCCTGTCATTGTATTTTTATTCTCTTGCTCTTGTTCTAGTTTTTGTTTGATAAATTCCAATAAATAAATAAAATAAATAGTGTGGGGAGGGACCATCTACATTATGAAATCCAACCACTTGCTTGGTTCAAGAATCCAACCATCTCTGACAAATGGGCAGTGTAACTTCTGCCCTTGAAAGGCTGGGCACCATTACTTTAGTGAGGATTTGGTTCAGCTGTATAACTGCTTCTAACGGTTGCATATTTTTTCCGATAGTCAATCACAGGTTGTCCTTCTATAATTTAAAACTATTTTTAATCTTGAACTCTGGAACAATAAAGAATAAGTCTTCCTGCCCGATGCGTGTCTTCATGTCCTGTTCGATGTTAGCAAAGCATGCCTAAATTGTTCACTCTCTGTCTTCATAAGCCTTTGTTTTTAATTCTCTGATCTTCTGGTTTCCTTTCTCTGAATTATGTAGTATTGATATCCAGAAGCGGACATAGTACTCAAGATAAAAAGTTTAATAGTTAATTTCAGGGTCCTGAATTATCCATGTTCCCTAAAAACCATGTACATTTTTTTGGTTCTTCTATAACAGTGATGGCGAACCTTTTGCATTCTTTTCTAATCTTAAGTACAATATATTATTGAATAAATTCCCCTTAAAGGATAGTTATTTTCTGCTGTAACAGAATATTTTGTTCTATAGAACCAATTGCATGACATACTGTGAATGACCATATTAGAAGTTTATAAAAAGCAAGGCAAGTATGATAAGTCTATGAGTTTACATGAAGAAAAAAATAGTAATATTTCCATGGCTTTAAAAAGGGTGGGGAATGATGAGAATCTTGGGAAGGAAGCCAATGACATCACCAAGAGGGTATGCTAAAAGGCGAACATGAAATTTGCTTTTCCCATAGTAATGGCCAATATATTCCTTGGGCTTTTCATCACAACCCCAAGAGATATTTCTTAGTCAATCCCTCACTCATACATTAGTAAATAAGAAAATGTAAGATTAGAGACTTGCTATGGCAATAATTGTACATGTTTGTGCCTGTGCCATTTTGATATCTGCTCCCCCAGTAAATTACATTTTGCTTTTTTGATCATGTGCATTGGAGTTTGTTTGTTTTTTTGAAGCTCTTTGCAATCTTTTACTTTCTTTCTGCTTTTAAAACAAAACTTGTCATCCAAGCTACATTTTGCTTCCCTGAAACATATGATCTAGAACAGAAGTCTCCAACCTTGGCCACTTTAAGATGGGTGGACTTCAATTCCCAGAAGTAGCCAAGGTTGAAGACCCCTGATCTAGAAGAGCTCCAACATTTGTGGTCTGGTGGGACACTTGGAATTTTGAGGAATGTTGGGGATAGTAGATTTAAAGAATCATGTGTCAAATTTGGCTTCTAAACAGAGTAAGTCACTTTGCATACACCTGTGTGAATCTCTGTATAATATACTTACTGTACAGAATTCCACTATAAAGCTGCAATTCTGGGCACATGGAAGAACATGGAAATAATGCTTGCTTGCTTCTTTGTTTGTTTGTTTATTTCAGAATAGGCAGGCATGTCTCACCAAGTGGCAGTAGCTGATTGAAGTTGCCTGGGCTTGGAAGCTAAAGAGACTCAGACCTGATTAATATCATCAGGAAGCATCAGCATTGTAGGCTAGACTGGGAAGTAACAGAACATGCTGGCAGAAAGCATTTCCGTATTGTTGCTGAGAAAACCTACATGGATATTTGCATTTGGTCACTAATGATCAAACAAGTTGGAGTCTTTCTTTGCGTCAGAAATACATAGGATGGCAGTACCATGGTTGGGAAATTTTTATTTAGTTATTTTCTTCTTCTCATATTCAGCTTATATATGGAAAACTGGAATCTTCATAGAGACTAATCTAGTGCTTTCTTCCTTGATCTGTTAGTTTTCTGTGGATAGGATAATTGTTTCTCCCATCCATGAGAAAGGAATTCAGTAAAATTTTAGAATCCCAAAAAAGATATCACATTAATTCACTGTTGCTTCTCTCTTGATTTGTAGTGAGTCGGATGGTAATCCCAGCACAGAAGATGAATCCAGCAAAGGGCAAGAGGACTTGTCTCCACGTTCCCTTGCGAGCACCTCTGATGGTGGCACCAGCTTAAGCCTTCCTAGCCCAATGGAGCAAGTATATATGCAGCAACTTGGAAACTCCAAAATATCCTTAAGCTCTTCAGGAGTTTTACTGAATGGGAACCTAATGCCTCCCAATCCATCTGTTTTTCTTAATGGTACTTCTTTCATTCAGGGCCCCAATGGTCTCCTTCTCAATGGTCTCGGTGTGGGATCTTCTCAGGCAGTATCATCAAGTCCACTCAAAACATCACCCCATGCTTTGAGCAATGGAGTCTCCATGGGTGATATGTTAGTCCCTTCCTCAGAAGATGTGAAAGACTTCAAACTCCTCCAGACTTCTCTGTCCAATTCCATTGCGCCATCAACACCCACAACAACATACAGCCCCAATTCTGGGCCTGTGTCTTTCCCAGGCTTGACACCAAGCATGGAAGTAAAGAGGGAAGAAAGTGAAGAAGCAATAGCATCGCAAGACAGTGGCTCAGTAGTCACTTTTACCACTCCAATCCAAATCAACCAATATGGCGTTGTCCAAATCCCTAATTCAACAAACAGTGGCCAGTTACTTAATGGAGGCCTCAGTTTTTCTCCGATGCAGCTGCCCTCAGTATCAGCAGCAACTTCCCGAGGTAAAAACCCTTCACTATATTAAATTAT